CCCCCCAATTTGGGAGCGCCGCGCTACTCCCCACCACATCTAGCGGCGGGAGCGGTGGAGGCGGGGCCGGCTGCCGCCGCGTAGGCAATTTTACGCACTCTCCTGTGTGTAGGTGGACACCCAATATATCATCAGCTGATGAGTAAGTACATGCTCTCTTCAGCCTAAAGCATATCGTTGGGTGCAACATAAATTCATTTTGAAGCATTAGGTAGTAAAAACTCGTTAATACCCACTATTAAGTACCGCCCAGTCAACTTCTTCAGTAGGGAATACAGACCACATGTGTAAAATTTAGAACCCCAGGGACTATTGATGGGCGCTCTACAAAATACACGTGCTCTTGTGGGAAGCAAGCTTTGACATGCGTCGAGACATACAACAGCACAAGTTTCTAATTGAGCTAGACGGAAAACTTCAAGAGGTACAGAGTTCCACGAGTGCTCTTTTTCTTCGTGAAGGTGTGGGCTACAATACTTAAAAGGAGCATTTTGTAAAAAAAAAAAAATCTGACTTACAGCTGAGCTAAAGCCGAGAAACTATAAAATCCACACGGTGCGAAGAAATAATAAAAATCTTGATTGAATTGCGTGTTTAAGAGAAAAGTAAAGCCACCATACTGTGAAATAAGGAGGCGGCGCGTGGCTCGTGGAGCGAGCGAACTCTCTAATCACGCTGAACCTTTTATAGCAAAAGTGTAAATTACTTGACCGATATTATGAACACGCGTCGTGCGCATAAATGGGAAAAAAATGGCACGCGGATTAGCGTGAGCATAACAAAGTTAATGTTACGGGTTTACTGCCCAATGGGACAAGGGGGGTTGATAGACGAAGAGGCTGATTCAAGAAGACTGGCCTTCAAAGTTTGTTTGAGGTTCGGGTTCGAGTCGAAGTGTGGTCAGGGGAAAAGTGCGGTCGAATAACGTAATTGCAACATTCTGCACGAAGCGGGCGCATAGTAAGACATAGAAAAGCTGCACGACGCGTTGGAATAACTCTAAAACTGTTATGCGCAAGCGGAATCAAAATTTCCAACATGTCAACAACAACGTAGGGAAGGGACTGTTTTCGTCAATTTAATATTGCGTTTCTCGGAACCGGGAGCCTGGCGCCTGCAAGACTCGGGGTAGGCCTCCCCGCAGTACACGGATGCAACGAAGGCGAGATGTTGCCTACCCACCAGGCGCCCCGAGAGCTTGCATCACCTACTGACACCGCCGTTTGTCGCTGCTCTGTACAGAATCGGGCTTCAGGGGTTTATTTTTGTGAATTTGTTAGAATGTTTGCCGTCGAGCACTTTATGTACCCCGTTCTTTTGGAAGAAGTACAGTGGCGTGGAAAAATAACAGTCCACACGCTTCTCACTGACTGCAAAATGCTACGCGCTGTAGCTCAAACGGTTCTGGAGATATGTGCATGTAAAGTTGATAATCAGGCTATAAATTTGGCGAATTTTCAGTAAAGTTCGCGTAAAACGACCTTTAACCACGCTACGGGCAGCTGAAACCATAATGCAAAACCTTATCTGGGGGTGGAAACAACACCACCTTACAGTGCCATTGAAATCTGAATGTATCACTGGAAAACCTTCCCTCGTGAGCAAAGTGCTTTCCGTTTTCTTCTGCCCCAATTCTTCCGCATTTCAGCTGTACCGGAATGCTTTGTTGCACCCTTGCGTCGCCACCTGAACTTGTTTTCAAGGAAAACGTGTTGATGACGGAGGAGGGAACTCGATTGTAGGCCATGCTATCGGTCAGCCGAAAACTTGATATGCTTCAATTCACGGAAAAAAAAGATTCGCTGGGTCAGCTAATATATTGACTGGTATCTGGACAGACAAGCACATAAACTTCTGTAACCACTATATTGGCTACCCTAATCAATCATTGGCTGTGCCAGTCAATGATTAGTTGTATGAAATAATGATTTGCCTGCATCAGTAAGGTAGACCTCGACTGATTTAGGTAAGGGATAAGCTCTTACAGCTAATTTTTGACTGGCACAGCCAATGATTGATTAGAGTAGACAATATAGTGGTTACAGAAGTTTATGTGCTTGTCTGTCCAGATACCAGTCAATATATTAGCTGATTCAGCGAATCTTTTTTTCCCGTGTAACAAAGTGTCAACTCTCTTTCTTTAACTCCAGCAATTCCAGGGTGCAAAAAATTGAAAACGAAGTGTAGTTGAATATTTGTAGATATATTTTGACCATATATTGAAAAACCGACAAATCAGGAATCTATTTAGAATCGTCGTAGTGGTTTCAGAAGTAATGCGTTTAAAGAGATGTCTCAAGCTGCGGCAGCGGCCACTGGAACTCTGGACTGTAACAGAAAACAGAGTGTCACACACAAGCAGTACACAGCCAAGCCGATTTCGATCGGGTGATAAAATGTGGCGCGACGAGACTTAATGAACCTTGTACTCAGGGCTCCGTAACGTATCATAACTCGAACGAATGTTCGTTAGTCAACGTAACAAGACACGTATCAAACTAAAAGTTAAGTTATCGATTTTGAAATATGTAAGATATTAATCCCACATACTGTGGAAAAAAGGAAGGTTAAGTCGAATGAATAACTTATTTCCAAAAGAACTCCACTAAAAGTTACAAGTTATAACTTTATCTCTTACAATAACGTTAAAGGCAGTTAAGTTATAAGTTACGGATGCCTGCTTCCTAATTGATCTCGCCAAGGAGAACAACTAAGATCTGGCACTACGTTTAAGCTTACTCCCTCGTGAAGGGCCAGTAGTCCGTCCTCTTCGTTCATCTTCAAGATAATGCGAGCCCGGCCGTCCTCGTAAACTTGCACCGACTTGCCGAGGCAGCGTCCATCCTTTAAGTTGCCGGAGATGACGTCGCAGTACACGCCCGCTGGTAGGCAAGTCTTCAGAAAACATAAGAAAACGTTTGGTTAGGATTTTCCAGCCTACAAGTGTTAATGCAGTTAACTGCAAAAGCGACCACGTACCTGCAACCACTGATCGAGGTCGTATCCGTCGTTGTTGAATGCCACGAACCCCTTGTTTCCACGACAGAAAGCAATTTGGTTGCTACCATTGTCCCACCAGTTCGTAAGCGGTGTTACTGTACGATGAAAACGCTATTAGTCCACTGGCCACCATGACGCGTTCCTCACAGAAGCCGATATGTGGGGTACCGTTATCACACAAATTCTGTCTACAGCGCTCTACGTCAGACTGGTAAGAAAGCAATGTCTAATTGCTTCGGATACGAAGCGCCAACATTAAGACGGAGCTTAAAAAAGTATGCCCCAGATCAGACATCGTGTAACCGGACCGCCGCACATCGGACTTCATCGTTAGAAGGCATCGTGTATTTATTTGTCCAGTTAAAAGTATTCTGATAACTTTCCAATTTTAAGATAATGAGACGCATCGGTCCAACTGACAAGGGAACCTTTTCAGGTGTAAATCTCCGATTTCGTTGAAACTTGGAAAATTTGAAGGTTATTTATGTGGAAATCGGATGGCACTTGAAATTTTTCCTAAACCTGACATTTAGTTTTCCCCTATATAAGGTAGGAGAAAGGTGTTAGAAAAAAATATTTTTTGAAAAATCTAAAGCAGTGTTCTCAGGGGTAACTCGTCAAAGTAGTGCCCTTAGGGTCAAAATTTTGTCCGTTTTGCTCTATTTTGAACCGTTAAAGCGGTAGAGGGATATTTAGAGCAAAAAACAGTGTCAGGCTTAAGTAAACCCCTAACAAATGTCAAGTTTAGGAAAAGTTTCAAGTGCCATCCGACTTCTATTATAATAACCTTTAAATTTTCCGAGTACCAACGAAATCGGAGATTTACACCTGAAAAGGTTCCCTTGTGAGAAGCTACTTACGAGTAACTACGTTTGAGAAGCGGACCATGTTGTATATTTGCCTCCAGCGATGCTCGCACACCCAGCCAGAGCCGCAAGAGTCGTCAGCATTGAATGTCGGACTGCGCAGCTCTTCGTTGTACGTGGTGGGCGGGCCCTGGTCGCTGTAGTCGAAAGCGAACGAAGACATGACCCTCTTGAGCGCGTGTGGGTGAGCTAGCATGAATCCCACAGCCATCTGAAAAGCAAGAATCAACGATTGATTCACCGGAGAAGCGCCACGGACAGTCACAGTCGCTCGCATTACCTCGTCACTTTATTCTAATGCGTCTCACGGACGTAATAAACGGCGCACCTCAATGTTTGTTACAGAATAATGATCCCCCCCCCCTTTCCGAAAATGTGCGCGTCACTTACTTTAAACATGTTTTTCACGCGCTCGGAAAATCGGCCGGTCGGTCGGCCGGTCGGCCGATGCTTACCTTGATAACCCCATGGTTGTGTCTTAGTTCACTCTAATAGTAAACAAGGTAGACGCACGTTAAAACCGTGTGAAGCTGAGCTAAATGTGCGTCTACCTTGGCCTGCGGCGCGCTTAAATTAAAATGTTTTCGCGATTTTGGTTGGCCTGCCTGTCCACCTCACATCCCACGTCTTACGCCAGGCGCCTCACTTCACGCCGTCTTCCGGGCGGTCTCCCCTCGAGGGGGAAATCACTTGCGAAATAGTTCGTACACCTTCCCCCGAAATAGTCCGAAATAAAGGAGAAGTAGAGCGAAATAGACCCGAAATGGACGCGAAATAGTCGGTGAAATAGTCGCGAAATACCCCTGAAATACTCCGACATTCCGCGAAATACCCTGAAATAATCCGAAATAGGCGAGAAATAACCAAAATGGCAGGAGAATTACTCGAGAAATACCAGAAATAGCCCGTAAGCTACGGACCCAAGTGATTTCCCCCTCGTCTCCCCTTGCGCTTCCTGACAGAGCTGAGCATTTAAAGTTAAAGTTTAATTTCAAGTTCAAGTTAAGCTCAGCAATGAATGTTCTTTTGTTTTGACTTTGACCATCTTATAGTGGGCCAAAAACTACATTCATCTATTTTATGGAAAAAATCAATTTCAAAACTTTAAACCCCGCTTAAAGATATGGTTCGATGTCCAATTTTTATTTTACTGCACCCAAAGGAAAGATGAGCATCATCACCGCGTCATCACGTCGTTTTCAGTGGCGATGACGCTTGGCTTCAGTGTACTTACTACTGTGTACTGTACTGTGTACCTACTGCTTCCTGACTTACCTTGTAGTGCTTCGCGTTCTTGTACGTGAGAATGTCGCCACCCGCACCGGACCCCCTCTGGTTATCGTGATTGTCCACGAACACCACGGCGTCGTCACCATTTGCCATATTCCAAGCAGGGCCTAAAGGCACACGGGACACATCCACCCTAGTAGCGCCAGTGCACTTAAATGCGCATTAAATGCGGCAATGCGCATTAAAATGCACAAAGCGCACGGTAACACATTTTTGACGAATTTAATGTGCATTACGCGCAGAAAGTGCGCATTTAATGCCGCAATGCGGCAATGCACATTAAATGTACCTATAATGTGTTACTCTGTAGGCGCATTTCAATGCGCATTTTCAGTTATAAAAGAATCCTCGTAATCTTCTTGTTTTCAGGTTTCCCAGAATGCTTTAGTTGGACGAGCTCACAACAATTTACCATGCAGTTATCGTGGAAATCGCGACTAGTCGCTTGTCAGTTCGATAACCAGACCACTCAAGTCAAAAGTGTATTGAACGGAGGAAGAGCTCTCCTTACTCCATAGCCGAAATACACTACACAAGATGTACGCCGACTAGTTTTTCTTTTTGGACTTACCCCAGTTAACGAGCCACCGAAGCTGATTTTCTCCCTTAAATAGACGCCCGATCTCGGCGCTGTGGCGGAAGTCAAGAACGCGGCCGATGTCCAGGTATTCCTTGTACGACACGCCCTCACCACCTTCAGAAATTTTTAGTAACAACACGAAGGACCAAAAAACATAAATCACAGATCAAAAAATCACCGACACTGTTAAAGAAAGTGTCAAACTGCTGTGCACATTCAAGTGCTTAAAAGTATGTCGGACACCACTAAGTATATTTGAACACTTAAGAGTTCTCCTGTAAGGGTAGGCCATGCAACTCTGGACACTTTAAAGTGTTTAAATTTACAGTTGAACATGTTTTTAAATTATTTAACTTTTTAGTCCAACACTTAAACGTGGCTTTGAACAAATTCTTAGGCATGGCAGTTGCACTCTATTTGTCAGGGAGGGTGTCGTGAAAAACGTATATCCTGAATCCTTCGGTTCTCCAAAAAGTTTTCTTCACTTATTTGAATGGCAACAGAAATTTATCTCAGTGTTTGTTGATCTGACCAGCCTGCCTGTTGGCATGATGAGTTTCCTGCCATAGTTCTATTTAATTATATCATACCTAAATCGATGACTTCTTGGTATACGAAAGGCCGGGCGTTTGACGCGAATCCAAAGGATTCATCAAGGTTCTTCACCCGCTGGAAGATCGCTCTTAAGTCTTCGGGCCACATGTGTTTCGCTGCATCGACTCTGAAAAACAACATAGTCTAACAGTCTAAAAACGTAGGATCAGATTCGAAAATCGTTGGTCGTCCACAAGCTGAGTGTATTTACCGGAAACCAGCTACCCCCATGGAGACAAGACGGTTCAAAAATTCCACTTGCTTCTCTCGAACCACCTCCTGCGACTGGTCTAGGTCTTTAAGTCCCACTAGCTCGCAATTACGTACCTGCATAAATGTCAAGTAAAATTTAGATATTGTGAAAAGAAAAAAAGTAGGTGAGGAACGATGATGCAAAGTATGATAGAGAACATTTTGTCCCCGAAGAATCAAAGCCGATAGAATTAGATCTAGATCGCTACCTCGTTGGCGTTCTGGTAGTTGTTAATGGAGCAAGTCGGGTGGAAATTGTTGCTGGAGTACGGCACGGCAGGATAATCTTTGCTTGAAGTATGCGCAGTGGAACCTCCGGTACCGATGGCCGTTTGCTGCTCACCAGTCATGTGGTTCAGGATTATATCCACGTAGACTCTAAACGGAAATAATCGACAGGCATTAGAAGCTAATAGGGCGCGTAATGGGGGAGGGGGCCGAGGTTGGTGCCAGTTTATTATGTGCCCCACAGACAAGGGCTATGATATATTCTTAAAATCACTAGGAAACGCTGATGGTAATGCTACTACACTGTAATTTGGGGTGTCTCCTTTGCCCATACCATTCCCACAGCACAGCACAGCAGAGGCTGTTTATATTCTGGTTATCGTGTGATAAAGGCGGATGCGTAAGGATAAAGACTCCAGCACTATTTCACTATAGTTTATTAAGTGAGTACACAACACAGGATACAGTCAAAGGCCAGGGGTCATTAATTAGCGGAACCGGTATTCACCCGGGGCCTAACAGACCAGGGTCAAGGGCGGAACTCTGCAGTGTTACCAACACGTAACATTTAAACTCGATGTATCGTTCTGCAGTAGTACCAACTAGAACAGAGGCCCTCTGAAAGGCGCTCACGTCCTGTACATATCTAAACTTGCAAGTTCAAAGCTGGGGCTGTGCCGTGGGAGTAGTATAGTATTGGCAAATATGCCTAGAATCCATAAGCCAAAAAGTGTCTCAAAAGTAAACGCCAAAAATGTCACTCGGAATCCTGTGGCATACGCCTGTTGGCGTCAACATTTGAGACAACCCCAAATTACAGTTAACCCGCGTCGCGATGTACGCGTTCTCGTGGTCTCGCGAGAGCAGCGTCACAGCGTTAAGTTAGTGCGCGGGCGGGTACCCATAAAACGTCTTAAATGTGTCGAAAATTGATGTCTTGTATCTGTACCTACGGAGTTAGTGGGGCGGGGTTTGCTCCACTAGAGTAATGGGCTGTAGATCAACCAGCAAGACAAGTCCGTCAATTGCACTGCTGAGTTGTTTTCAGTCGCGGCTGTGATTCCGCTTCGAAGACAATCAGTGCAGTTCACACTTAAAGTCCGTGAAACTAATTGCCCAGCTATGATAGGAGCTCTTATCAAGTGTATTGGGATGAGGCAACATATCTATGAAATGGTGTTTGAGAGACAAACAGCTGTGAAAAACAAGTTGAACCTACACTGCAAATCCGGGGTGTCCAGCAGGTACGCGTAGTTTTGCGGGTCAGGTGACATTGTCGCCTACCTGCTAGACACCCCCGGATCTAAAGTGTACACTTAAGCAAAATTCTACACCTTGTGTTAAAAATCCTTGCAATTTTATACATTAAACCAGTACTTTCACAGTTACAGCGTGTAAGCGAACAGTTTGAATTTTTTTAACTCTACGCAATAAGTTGAAACCTTGATGAAGTTTGTTATCGAACATTCTGAATTTCTCAAGGGCTTTCGCCTGTGGTGTACTGCGCACATGCTATACTTACCGCACGCCGACTTTACTGCAGCGCTTGACCATACGGCGGAACTCCTCCTCGTTACCCGAGCGCGTCACCAGGCGGTACGAAATGGGCTGGTAGCGCTCCCACCACGGTCTCTCGTTGTTTTGTCTGACGATAACATTTTCTTGCACGGGCGATACCTGAGATTCCCCCAAAAATAGAGCACACGTTACGTTAAGAGCAAACCTTTTCACCAGGCGGTGCAGTACTCCTCCTGCAAATCAGTATCAATCACGAGTTATCCGATTAGACCGACCTCATGTACACGCAGCTTGTACATAAGCTAAGAAAAACTTATATGCATGCGCAGAATGCGCGCACAAAAAACAATTTATGTTATGCGCAAGCGGAATTTTGTGCACAGAACCGCGTGCGCATAAGTTTTCTAGGATAGATTGCACGCTGCGTGTTGTGTACCCCTAAGCAGTTATTCGCACGCAATTTTTTTTTAAGAGTGTGCACAGTGAAACAAACTGAAAACAGACACGGTCGAGGCTGTAGACATTACGTTGTAATGTCTCTTTGACTTTTGAATGTCTCTTGCGGTATAGGCCGTGATGAAGGCAAGTGATCAGCTCAACCAATTAAAGCCATTCCGGAAACAGAAAAAAATCAGTGAGTTTGTTCTTTTCCTACTTCCGTTTAGGGCTGCATGGAACACCCTATTGGCAGAGCTACAGCTCAGGTTCTTGCTTGGTATCTAGTTCCAGGATATTGCCAGCCGATATCCAAACAGCCTCATCCACACTAAAAATCTTTTAACACGTAGTTTGGGGGTCATAAACTTGAGCTATCCGCCAAACCGAGCCTGTATAGGTCACCCGTTCTACGAGCTCTTCGGGAGTAGAGTGAGAGAGACAGAGCTAGCTAGCGGTATCGCCGCCGATGGGTGTGTCCGTCTTTGTCACTCCTAATGGCACTCAATGGGTGAGACAAACACAGACACACACTGGGCCAACCCGAGCGCCGCAGTCGGGAACCTCGGCTCCAGACGAACGCAAGAGATGCGCGGCTCTCGGCGAGCCGCACTAGGCGTCGTCCAAAAAGTATATCCGTTTTTCTTAGAATGATTCGGCAGATTAAAGGAGCACGGCGCCTGCAAGACTCAGGGTAGGCCGCCCTGCAGTACACGCATGCACTGGTAGCAAGATGTTGCCTACCTACCAGGCGCCACGAGTGCTTGCTGAGGCCGAACTCGGCAGGTTCGTAACGGCGAAAGACGGACGTACTTTCTGGATGATCCCCTACCGGTCTGGGCAAGCCGCGAGTTTGTGACCCCTGACGCAGTTCGTCGCGGCTCCGTATAAACACCAGGCGCAGTCGAGACAAAATTGTTCTTTTGCATTTAGAGTGTATAAGTCTTGGGTGGACATTGACCTCTTCACGCAATTACACACTGTTAAGAAATCGTTACAGAACGAACAAGTTTGTGTTGTTACACATTTTTGGTGCAGGCGAAAGTAAATGACCACGGTTTTGAAATAAAAATTTGTTTCAGAAAATTTTGTGATGTTGTTGGATCACATTATGTTTTGTGTTTTAACAAAATTTGCTGCTATCAAAATTCACATCAAATGTGTTGTAAATTTACAACAAATTGCTTAAACAGTGTATAGGACAAGGACATGGCACCTAAGAATGTAGTGCATAGTAGTGAGACTACGCCAACCTCTTCCTGTTGCACCTGTCGTGTAAAGTCTACGAAAGACCGTTCAACTGCACAGAGTTTGCCCTCTCGTCTGAAGACCGTTCTTACCTGCACGGCCCCGTAGCCCATCGGCCCAAGGAAGTTTTCGCATTCGGCCGCGATGTCGTTCCACTTCCACTCGAAGAGGTGCACGATGGCGTTGCGCCCGGGTGCCATGTTTGGCTCGCGCTGGGCGCGTGACTCCAGCGGTGCACACAGGAGCGCGGCGAAAAGCAGCGCCTGAGAGAGTGACGACGCCATGTTGCTGCGGGAGGCGGACAGCAACTGCGGGGTCTGTCCTCACCTTCACTGCCTATTTATTCTGCGGCACGGCGGCCCGAGTGAAGATAATGCCCAGCGCTGAGTGTAGTGCTGGGCACAGCAACGCTATCGACTGAGAGAGAATGAGAAGATGGGGGTGGGGGGTGTATCGACTTGTATAAAACAACAACAGGTGACACACTCTGCTGTAGAGTAAACAGCCACGACGGAATTCACACCTTGAAATGACTCATGACTTTTCTCGTGGAATATTGGCCACTGTCCATGTCCATAGTGTGCAAAACAGCTGCCTGAGTCGGACAAAATAGGGCATTTTACCTAGTTTAAACAAGATCCGAAGGAGAACAGTAATGCCTGTTTGTCAGTTTGTATGTGTGCACGATAATTTGAGAAGGAATTGCGTTAGCGACCTGTGAATTTCAGGGTCGTATTGTATCGTGGAAAGACAGAGCAAGTTCAAAGATGAGCATTCTAGCCCAAAAATTGACTTTAAAAGAAATCAAAAACCACAGGTCATAA